AAAAGCTGGTACCAAATGCATAAAAATCAAGTCATAGCTGCATACCAAGTTGATCCAATTAAGTCCAACTACGGGAGGATTCAACTATTACCCATACAATGACGTTTACACATCCGACTTGTAATCTTTGAAGTTCGTACAAAAGCTGGTACCAAATGCATAAAAATCAAGTCATAGCTGCATACCAAGTTGATCCAATTAAGTCCAACTACGGGAGGATTCAACTATTACCCATACAATGACGTTTACACATCCGACTTGTAATCTTTGAAGTTCGTACAAAAGCTGGTACCAAATGCATAAAAATCAAGTCATAGCTGCATACCAAGTTGATCCAATTAAGTCCAACTACGGGAGGATTCAACTATTACCCATACAATGACGTTTACACATCCGACTTGTAATCTTTGAAGTTCGTACAAAAGCTGGTACCAAATGCATAAAAATCAAGTCATAGCTGCATACCAAGTTGATCCAATTAAGTCCAACTACGGGAGGATTCAACTATTACCCATACAATGACGTTTACACATCCGACTTGTAATCTTTGAAGTTCGTACAAAAGCTGGTACCAAATGCATAAAAATCAAGTCATAGCTGCATACCAAGTTGATCCAATTAAGTCCAACTACGGGAGGATTCAACTATTACCCATACAATGACGTTTACACATCCGACTTGTAATCTTTGAAGTTCGTACAAAAGCTGGTACCAAATGCATAAAAATCAAGTCATAGCTGCATACCAAGTTGATCCAATTAAGTCCAACTACGGGAGGATTCAACTATTACCCATACAATGACGTTTACACATCCGACTTGTAATCTTTGAAGTTTGATGTATTATTTAGGGTTCATACCTTATTTTTGTTTGAACTATAATCATATAATCAACTTTGGCTTGTGGTTTCGGAAATTAACATTCGTGGCATCAACTATGCAACATATAGATGCAATTGGCCCGACACGTGGTTTGACTGTCAATTTGGACGGTCAACACCGTTGATCGTTAGTCAACATGCCATGTCAGCCTAAAAATTTATATTTTACTTTTTTGGGTAATTTGAAAATGATAAATTTTATAAACTAACTAAAAATTATCAAATTATTATAAATTTTATTTTTTGGTTAATTTGAAAATGATAAATAATAGAAATTAGGAAAACAAATTTAATGATTTTTAGGTTGACGAGGCAATGACATGGCATGTTGACTAACGGTCAACGGGGTTGACTGTCCAAATTGACGGTCAAATCATGTGTGAGGCCAATTGAGTCTATATGTTGTATAATTGCGGGCAAGATGTTAATTTCTGAAACCACATAACAAAGTTGATTATATGGTCATAGTTCGGGCCAAAATAAGATATTAACCCTATTATTTAGTGTGTTACTTTCAATTATGTTTTTTTAATTGTGTCGTTAATATATTTGATGTACTTTCTTTAATATTAATAAAAAGAGCAGTAAAATTTATTTTGTGGCCGAATTAAAAATAACCATGTAAATAATGACAGGATGATGTAAGTAAAATGACAAAATCAACACTCAACTAATTTCGACAAAAACTGTTGTTAGAATGGATCGGGATAATCGACAATGCAAGAAAGTAAAGTACACACAGATTTAAGTAGTTCACTAACACAATGTGGGTTAGTTAGTCAACGGGCAGGAGAGAGCCTGTTTCACTATGTTTTAGGAGATGCATATTACATAGGGATATGCAAACTATATATAGTACTTCTCCAAACGATCTAACCCTTATCCAATCATGTAAAGAATAATGTTACATATCAGGTCCAAAACAGAAACTCACTTTACAGCGAGACCCCCTGTGACTTCCAGTCGACATGAGATAATCCGATTCAACTCATATCAACATTTTTTTTTACACTTTCCAACTTTTCCTCCTTATCTTATCACGATTCTTTTTTTTTTTCTCTCTCCAATTCTCCTATCTTGACTCTAGTCTAGGCTCTATCATATCGTTTGATATAAATGACTTTCATAAGTTTTTGAGAAATTCATTTTAAAATGAAATCATTTTTTGTTTGTAATATAAATGAATTTATTTTCAATTCTGAAATTTGAATTATACAGAAATGAAGCTAGTTTTAGCAATTCCAAGAAATTGAGGTGAAATTTGCAAATGAATTCCGCAAATATTTTACTAATTATGAATAACTATCTTCAATTATTAAGTAAGCTACCCCTGTATATAACTTCTCCCTAATATTCCATATTTGTGCACCTAACCTTCCTTACTCATCTAATGCTTAACCAAATATATAATCATGAAGATCAATCTCTTTTTGTTTACGAGAAAAAAATGGTATACAAATTACAAGGAATGTTTTTAGAAGATAGATCTTGAAATTGTATACCAGCTTTTTAAGAAACTTTTATTTTTGCTTGATCGAAGTGGTTGGATATAAGGGTGACACTTTGTGTTTTTAGAAAGTATGTGTATAGTTCAGGCCAAACTAAGGTATTAACCTTAAAGATAATAAAAGTATATGTAGTTGAAAATTAATTTGATGTAATTCTAAACGCAATTCAAATATAATTTGAGAATTCAATTTAATTTATTTATAAAAAATTGAATATGACATTTCAAATATAGGAATTCATCCAACATTGGATTCTAGACAAAATTTTATTTTAAAATTAAAAAAATTCTTAATTCATTTTATTCCAAACAATTTGTAGAGTAAAAAACTAAAAACTCAAAATACAATTTTTTTGGGAAAAATACCCATTTTTTTTAACTCTTTCCCCACCTTTGATTTTTCCCCACCTTTGATTTTTTCCCCCCACCTTTTATTGCAGGTTGGTGTAAAGTAAAAACGAGAGCAGACTGCAGCATAGATCTTCATATTCTTTCCTGCCCAACGACCCACGCCAAGAGCAGCCGATTACCCCCGATTTGACGATTTTCTCAGACCTACATTGGAATGGCAGAAGGGAAATAACCTCAGGAAACCACAAGGATCAGCAAGGATAAGTCAATCAGGAAAGAGCCCAGAAACCTTGGGGAGAGCTCGAGGATAGAAAGTAGAAACCTTGGAGAGAGGGATCTGTCAACAATTGAAGCGATCTGAGCAGCAATAAAGATGGAGGGAGTCGGAGCGCGACTGGGACGTTCCTCCACTCGATACGGGCCGACGACGGTGTTTACCGGCCCTGTCCGGAGGTGGAAGAAGAGATGGGTCCACGTATTGCCGTCGTTAAATAGTAATTCTGCCCACAACGGTGGTCAGTTTCATTCCAATCTCATCACCAACGGTACCGCCGCCGCCGCTTCCGGCGCTGCTAATGGTAATCATAGTAGTTCGCATCTCTTGCTTTACAAGTGGACTCCTTTACACCAATCCAACAACAGCAACACCACCAGCAGCAATAAGGACAGCGGCGGCGTCGCTGTTGCTACCGATGAAGCGCCTGAGGAGCCCCAAAGGCGCAAATGCAAATACATCCCGGTATTTCCCCCTTCCATCTATCCTTTGCTGTTTAATCTGCATTCAATGTAATATTGGTTGTTGGATCCAAATCTACTATTAGTACTACAGTAAAGAACTTGTCTTTGGCTAGTGTGACAATTGATTGCAATGTTACCCTGCCTCAGCCCCATTGCACTCACCATCAGAGGAGGGGTCTGAGTCAGATTTGATGGAGCCAGCGATCGTTATGATACTAGTAGATTCACCCCTTTTTCTTGAGCTTTCTATTGATGGGTAGTGATTGATACCAAGTTTGAACTTATCGACCTCCTGTGATACAGTTTGATGAATCTTGGGCATTCACATTCCCTTAACACATGCGGTGATACGAGTTCCATATCAGGGCTTCATTTCCATCACAAATATATTTCTAGGGCATTTTTCACTTTTCAGGGCAGGTTTGCACTTCAGATATGCTGAAAATGCTAATATTGCTGAATGTTTGCATTTATTATTAGTTTTGTTGATTGTTTTAGGCACTAACGTGGTAGGAACTTTTATTCAACATAGGTGGCTTTGCTAGAGGCACAGAGAATAGAAGCTGATGAAGAAATGATTGATGATGAAGTTAAACCAAGCGACGGTGAAGGAAATGTCGATGACCCAGTTTCTACATCTGCTGGGGTTGACGAAAAACCTGATATTAATGAGTCGCCAAAAGAAAGCCAGGTTAACACTCATCTTCTTTTTCATTTAGCGGTCTTCGTTTGGCTGCTGCACATATCCATTGTGCATCAGCTCACTTGTGGTTTGGCAATATCGAGTGATTTGATAGTGAATGATGTCCTGGATTATGTTCGAGCTCAGGGTAGTGGTCCTCCATTCGTCTTCTTTTTTGTGTTGTATGTTATTAGTTATCCATTTCCAAATGAAGTATGAAAAAGCACCCGACATACTGTCTAATGCTTCTCATTTTGTTCCTCTTTGCTAATGTGGGATTTGTTGTTGGCTTCCATCATGGTTGGTTGTTTTTCTTTTCCACAAGTAATGCAGTTCCAAATGGTTTTAGCTCTGAGATAGCACACAGAAAACTGTGAGATGCTTCTCATTTCCCACCTCTATGCTGATGTGTCATTTCCTGTTGGCTTCTCTCAGGATGATGAACAAGTGGTACGGCAAGACCTGAATGAGAGTACCTTAGATTTGTGCTTGGGATTGAACTCGCATGATCATGATTCGGAATCAAAACCTGAGGAGCTTGGTCAAACTCAATCTGTCCAGGTTGATGATTCAGCTCCTTCATGAAAGGCAATACTAAATTTGTTTGTTCTTGATTTGAAGAAACTTTATACCTTGAGTTGATCATATGGTCAGAGCTTTTGTGCTTCTTAGAGGCAGGCGCATTCACATGACCAATTTGAGTTGGTTCTTCTGCTGCTGACGTAACCGGGATTGATGCTTCAACAGATTCAATATTTTATGATTTCAGTTGAGAAATGGCTAAATTTAATCACACTATGGTTGTTTCGTCATTGACAATTCCACTTTTTGAACTCAGATATTGTTCGGCTTCTTTGTTATGAACATTACCTTCTATTATTCTTTTTGTTTAGCATCTTTTCTGATATTCATTACAAGAGACATCTAGGTTTTACATTTACATCAATCATACTAGTCACTAGTCAGTTGAAAGTGAAATCCAAACAATGAAGTGCTTTGTTTGGGGAATCATCGTCCCTGGCGTTAATGTTTTCCTGCTTCTACTTGGTCCAGATGCCAGATCCCCCTACCCAAGTGAAGCAAACCCCAAACCAAAAAATTTATTTTTTCGAAGGGGGTTGAGATGTGTCTTCAAACCCTTCCCTCATGTGGTAAAGCTTCTTTCTTAGCTCTTGGGGAATGTGGTGTGCTGCTTCTGTTGTTGTAGCTTTGCGACAAGATGGGATAGCTATGCATGTACAGGTATTGATGATGATGATGTTGATGGTGAGGATGATGAGCTGACAGATATGCAGCCTTTCAGCCGTTCAAGAATGAGGTTGCGGCTAACTAGTCTGGCATGTGAAGTAAGAGGAAGACCCTCTTTCACGCATTCATCATATTTCTCCAAAGCACAGACAATGTCTCTGAAATCTGGCCGCTTTGATGGATTAGCAGCCCAACAACACTTGATTAAGTGTGCAAGTGCAGGCTGACAACTCGCTGGAAGCGGGGGTCGTTCCTTCTGTCAGAAACAACACCAAAGGAGGGAGAATGCAAACATCAGAAAGAGATATGGGAGGTGGCTCATTTGATGACTCAGTAAATGAACGTCACTAGTCTTTTGGCATGGAATAAGGAGGAAATCAGCTACAAACAGTGGAAAGTCTTACCTTCTCAGCCACTGCATATGCGGCCTGGACTGGAGTCATTCCTTGAAATGGAAGCAAAGCCGTGGTGAGCTCCCACAAGACAATCCCAAAGCTATAGACGTCGACTTTACGAGTGTAAGGTTTCTCCTTTATCATCTCCGGAGCCATCCACCGATAAGTGCCTTTGTTTCCTTTAGTCTCCAGGCATTGTGTCTCTAGGCATGAGGTACCAAAATCTGCCACCTTAACCCGCATCTCATCGTTCAGAAGCAAATTGTTTGATTTCAAGTCTCTGTGAATTACACCTTGTGAATGAAGGTACTCCATCCCACGTGATATGTCGAGAGCTAGCCTCAGGATTGTCTCTGTTGATAGAGAGTAGGGCTCTTTCTTGTTGAGGTACATTCTGAGTGTTCCTTGTGACATATACTCGGTGATGATGCAGTACACAGGGGGCTTCTTGCATGCAGCAATGAACTGAATAATATACAGCAACGACAAGAACAGTAGGAGGATTGAGCAATTGTCCATGGTTCTGACAATTTAGGTTTTAGAGAACTAGATCTAGAGTTCAGTGATTGCAGAAGTGACCTATACATTTATTCTCAGTTTCTCACTCCCTAGGCTGGTATCATACTTGCTAAGATCTTGTTTAAGCCACAAGAAAGAAGAAAAGGAGGAAACAGTTACCTGCACGATATTGGGATGATAGAGCCGGGAGAGCAAAGCAACTTCAGATTTGAACTGCTGCTCGAGGAGAGATCTAGTCTCCTCTTTCTGGTTCGGGATCCTGACCATCTTAACAGCAACTGCTCTCTGCTTGTAGATTCCTCGATATATCCTACTGTGCGCCCCAGAGGCGAACTTGTTCCCTATAAACAACTGAGAGAGGTCGGCTGTCCACTCCTCTTGGTCTTCCTTGGGAGAGGCCTCCCACGTCTCCACGTTCTCAGACTCCAGTATCATGGACCAGGATTCCAAGCTGTCGAACCTCTTCCTCTCCATGGTCTCGGAGTTCAACTGGTGCCCTCTCGACGACACGGAAGGTACTGCTAATCTTCGTTTGCTCCTGGGTTTCCCATGGCAGAAAGCAGGGAACCAAGAACCAGCCATTGCAATACTAATAACTAACTTTTTTCCCAAGGAAAGAAGAAACGGAGGATGCAGTGATCAAGAGAGAGGGCCATTTCAGGAAGTGCATGAACTGATTCAAAACGTAGGAAAGAAACAGGGAGAAGGTTTCAAGCTTTCATGGCCGAACTGCAAAATTGCAGGAGGGAGTTGAGAGAGATGACAGACATTGTGGAGTGGAGGTTGATGTGATGAGATTAGAGGTGGGTTTTGGAACTGGCATGGAAAGATGAAAGATGATGAACACAGAGTGGGGGGATTTCAGGGACGTCTCGTGATTGTCCCATCTGAAAGTTTTGTAGCTTTTTAGTTGGAATGGAAGGAAAGGAGGGCAGCTTTTTCCTCTTCCTTGCGCCTTCTCTGCTTTACGTATTTCCGTCTTTAAGTTCTAACCCTTTCTCCCTTGCCCCGCAGTCTGATGCAGTTTTCGTGTGGATACATGAATTTTTTGGATTGATTAATTAATTATTTGAAGTAGATGAACTTTTGAATAAATTATGAAAGTGATTTGATATAAAAAAAATTATACAAAATTGTGTTTTTTCCCTATTAATTAAGATTTATATTAAGCTCACGATCAAGCCTAAAAAAATTAGGATAACGTCCACTTGATTGACTACATAAAAATACAAAACAACTCAAAGCAATCTGCTAAAAATTAACAAACTCTACACTTCTAATCTAAATCTCATATTGTTTGTGCAAAAAGCAAAAATTCTTCTTTAAATTGGACAAATAGAGCCTCTCAATCCTTACTAAGACCGCCAAAAACTCTACTACACCTTTCCTTCCAAATCAATACTACAGATTAGCACCATACAATACCAACGACACGGCCATATGCACCACCGTTCTTGACCTCTGCACACACCTTCCGAGGCAGGTCATCCCAATTACTTGGCCAAACTTGTAGTATCCTGTCAAAAATCGCATGGAAAAATTGTAATGTATATGAACAACTGTCAAAATTGATCATGTAGCCAAACTGATCCAGGAATCGAAATCCAGCCCGACCCTCAAGATTCGGGGGCAGGTAAGTGAGTTTTTAGGGTCAACCTTACATCCCTACACACTTTCATTATGTTAGAATTCTGAGTATGCTACACTAAAAACTTCAAAATTGACTTGTCTTCCCATGTGATTACACCTCACCCCCCATTCTGAACTGATACCAGCCTTGTAAGAGGTATTTTATCCATTTCACAACTTTATAGTTGCAACAGATGTGTCATTTATAATTTTTGAACGTGTCTCCTAGATCGTAATTTTGAAATTTTATAATGACGAAACATGTATTTTCCAGCAAAATCTTGAAATGGATATGGGTAGATTGTTGACACACCTCTCCCTCATCTAGAACCTCCTCTCCCGGTGGTTATTGATTGTTTGAGCATGGTTGAAACCCTTTCGTGCAAAAGCATAGAAGGGAGAGCAAGTACCGTTTCCTCAAACCACGAGAAGGGGCAAAGTGACCCGGTGGATGATCATTAACCACAACAAAAAAACGTGCCAGTGGTGACACTTTCTTAGTTTCTTTGATTGAATGGATCCAAATATGAGAAAAACTCATTTTCTAAAGAAAGAGAAAACGATCACTTGAAAAAGAAAATATGATCACTCCTCCTAGGGCTGGGCATGCGGGCGGATTATCCGCGGGTTTGGACCGACCCATCGGCATTTGACCCGAATTTTGTTAAGTGGGTGGGTCTGTGGGTGGGTGACGGGTTGCGCGGGGAGCCATCCGCCGGGTGGTGGGTGGGTTGTGGGTGAGTGTGCGGGTGACCCGCTCAACCCAACAACAAAAAGATCAAAGTCGTTGGCGCTAGAGAGAGGAGAGTGGAGACGTTAGATATAAACTCGGACTGCTCCTGGAGTTTAAACCTCAAGCCAACCTTCCAAATAGAGATCCCCTCTTCTTCCCTTTACTTTTTCCTCTAATTCTTGTGCCTAGATCACCGCTCTTTCCTTTGTGGAATTATTTTCCTTAGTTCCTTGCACCTAATAATCGTCTCAATCTGTAGAAAACTCTTTCATAATAGAATTTCTATCCAATTTAAGAACTAATTCGACATTTTTCGCCCTATTTCAACTTCTTGTTTCCCTCGATGATTCTCTTCACCTATTATCATGTCAAGTTGACTCCTTTATATTATATACATTGTGATGTGGGTTCGATGTGGATGAACCCACAAACTCACCCGCATCATCCACCATCCGCCCGACCCAACCCGAGACTAAATGTGGATGCATTTTATAGTCAAAATCCACCCGACCCACCCAATGCCCACCCCTAGGAGAAAGGGTACTAGGAGGCAAAGGGTACTAGGAGCCTCCTAGTACCCTTTCTCCATGTCTAGGTCCTCTTCTCAGGTCGGTCCGCAGGCGGCTGCGGCCCATTCTCCTGATGGGCTTTCCTCACCAGTTCATCCGCTAAATTAAAGGAATTAATCGCCGGCCCGTCCATCAGCTTACGCACTCCCCGATAAGCCCCGGCCCAAATGGTGTTCCGGAACCCAGTCGAAAACAGACGGCCGGCAGAAGAGAGGGAACGTACAACGTTGCATTTTTTGCTGGGGAAGTGGACAATTCCTCCTGATTCCCTCCCTTTCCCCATCACCCCCGCTCCGGCGCTCCACCACGAAATGGAATTTCAGTTTCAGTGGGCGTCTAAGGGAGCCGGAGACTGACTCGAGAGGTTTAAGCTTTTGCACCGCCATGACACTGGCCGCTCTGTGTAGTTCTACTGTACCTGCCATCTCGCCGGCAACATACACCGCCGGAAACAACCTTTCTCGTACCAATCTCCTTCCCCTGGTTCCACTCCGCCCGTCATTTTCCAGGTATGCTTCGCCTTCTTCTCTACAATTTTCCGGCATCTCCTCCTATCGGAAACATTCCTCGGCTATGTGTTTAACTTCCCTCGCTTCTAGTTACTCTGATTGTTGATCGATTTATTAAAAGGAATTTGCAGTAAGCTCCTCCTGTCTTTGTGAAACTAATGCTTCCTTTTCTGTTTCCTCCAATTTCCAGGACTCGAAACCCTAGCAAATTCAGCAAATCATATCCGGTCAGAGCAGCTGTGGTGCGCGAACAGGAGGAGAAGGAGGTGGTTGTAGAAGAAACTTTTCGACCCAAGACATCTGGCTTCAATGTACAGGAGGGCGGCAGTGGTGGCTCACAGTCACAGAGGGAGCCTCCTCAACCTGATTCTGATCAGTTGATCATCAAGATTGAGCAATCCATTAACGTCTTTCTCACTGTAATTTTATCCATTTCGATTGTTAGGCACACACACTTCTAATCCTAAAATGTTGTTCTGATTAGATTTCCCGGAGCAGTGTTTCTGCTTCTGATTATAGTAGCTCTACTGATATTGCCAGGACACGGTGATAAAGGTTCTCGACACCTTCTACCGCGATCGAGATTATGCTAGGTTCTTCGTCCTTGAAACCATTGCGAGGGTTCCTTATTTTGGTGAGTCCTTGTTGTTGTTTACGTAGCTAACTACTCTTTATTCGTCAGTTTGGTACTAATACTTGTGACTGACTATCCACGGTTCATTTCTATCGCAGCCTTCATTTCAGTTCTGCACTTGTATGAGAGTTTTGGTTGGTGGAGAAGAGCAGATTATCTGAAAGTTCATTTTGCTGAGAGTTGGAATGAGATGCACCACTTACTCATCATGGAAGTAAGGATCCTTTGCGAATAATAAGTATCCACTATGTCTTGTGGCATTGTTAATATTCAGTGGCAGGACATGGTATATTATACTTGTGAAGTTGTCATCACTTAATTCCTCCCCATGCCCACGTGGTAGTTTCCCCGAGTGTAGGATTGTGCAGATGAGGAAAAATTTGATTGCATTTTGATTGTCAATAAAAAGAAAGAGGTTTGCAATAACAGGGAACCAGAATTACAACTTATGTTGATGGCAATGGTTTTGTGTTTGCAGGAACTGGGGGGAAATAGTTGGTGGTTTGACCGATTCCTCGCTCAACATATTGCAGTCTTTTACTATTTTATGACTGTCTTTATGTATGCATTGAGCCCAAGAATGGCTTGTAAGTGCTTTCTCTGTTTTGATTTAAGTACTTCCATATATCTCCTGTTTTATACATTTTCCTCTAGTTTTCTCTTTTGTTACTGTTCACCGTTGTTTTCTATGGTAGGTAATAGATGGCATATTAAATGAAATCCTTGATCATAGAGGCTAATGTCTTATACTTTGCTCAAACAATAAAAAGAAGCAACGTTTACTCTTTTCTTTCACGGAGTTCACCCAGGACCTGCAAAAACTTCTCATTCTGATATTCAATCTTTTGAGTTTCTTTAGGTCAGAGGATGAATAATCTGTTTGTCCTTCTTGATGAGCAGTTCATCCTAAAATAATTTTGTTCATCATCGTTGCAGATCACTTTTCTGAATGCGTGGAACACCATGCTTATTCAACCTATGATAAATTTATCAAGGCGAATGGAGGTATGGTGGCATACAATCTTGGATCGCCAGTTAGATTATTGCTGTCTTTTGATTACAAATTATCCATATAGTTTATCTGTCGGATGGTGGTGTTTGTGATTAGATTGTTGCTTCTTGGAATCCATGCTGTGCACTAAACCTTGAGTAAGACCCTTATCATCTATAAGAAATTGTACCCTCATGTTTGGCATCATTTCATAAAGCTGCTCCCTCAAGTGTTCGTTTATTTTAGCTTCTATAGAGAAATAAGTGCTGAAAATCGAGTCATAGGAACTGGAGGTAGTTAAATGGATAAATTTTTTGATGGATTCTGCTGAACAAAGTTGAATATTGTCTTTAAGGGGAATGGAAAGAAATAAAAGTACATTATCCATGGCAAGAGAAAACAATCTTTTCCACAGGTGTTTCTGTTTGCTCTTCAAGCTTAACGAAATAGGGTAGTAGAAAAGAGATTCAAGTAAGCTAGCCGCAAGAAACATATCCACCAATTGATTCATCCTACTCACTGTGGTGCACATATCTGTGCAGACGAGTTGAAGGAAATGCCAGCGCCGGAGGTTGCAGTTAGGTACTACACCGGCGGTGACTTATACTTGTTTGGTACGTATGTTTCTGCTTAGTGATATCCCTCCCACCACCACTTGATATTGGTCTTTAAAGCATCACAATTTGAATATTGGTTTCCCCCCCTTTTTGAACACAGATGAATTTCAGACTTCCAGAGTCCCTAACTCACGTAGGCCGAAAATAGGTAACGTCTCACTCATTATGATTTATGATCACAAAAATTGATAATCTTGGTCACTTTATACCTGGAAAGAAGAATTCCATTATGGAAATTGAATTTTATGTGGCTTAAAAGTTTTGATTTCTAATTCCCCTCCGGAGGTAGGAATGGCAATGGGGCAGGTCCGGTCGAAATTGCCATCCCTATCCGGAGGTG